GTGGTGACTGGGATAGAGCACGCACTAGTTGAAGGAAGTACCACGCTGCAGCTATATTATGGCAGTAGCGCACGAACGGCTGGGCTCGACCGGGGTAGGGCCACGCTCTCAGAATACCAGCGTAACATAGCAGCTTAATTCTGCTGTGTTTCGTATGGTAAGTGTAGAGAACTGGATACCCTTTTTACTGGAAACAAGGGATTCTGTCTCAGTCCTCAGGGGTGACAACGCATTTGTATTTTGATTCTTAACTGAGAATAAATGTAGATGTATGTATGTATGTCTATGGGCCACGGCATCTACTGGTAAGTACCATCAGGTGGACTGAGTGCTCGTTTGTCACCATTATTCTATAATGAAAAAAATTAACATTTATTAAGTTGTAGTGTTGTACCACAACTAATGACCAGATTTCGTCGCGTAGGTGATTTAAAAGGCGATTAAGGTTAGGTATAAAAATATAATGGTCTCTGGTAGAGGACGGCATCAATATCCGTATTAATAAGCAGCGTCGGTGGTGCGAGACATTTGGTTTTCAGATCGCCCATCCCACTCCCAAGCGGTAGGTTGAATGAGAGGAGGGACGATAAATCTCTCCTATTACGAGAGAGGATTATGTCCACCTGTGGACTGTGTACGTGTTAAATAAATGACTGTTAAATAATACACGCTAAGAACTTCTAACCAGTAAATCTGGATTTATTAATTTAGTGCACTTATGCTCGACTCGATTCCTATATCCGAGAAACATTTCCTTCTCCGTAACGATTCGTTTTATAACATACGAGATGGAAGTAAAAACATTTCATATTACATACAACAGTCATTTGTTCAGCAAATTAAATGGGAAACATAAATAGTTCAACTGGTATGGATATAAAATATGCTATAGCCTAGTCAAAACCTCATAATAGTGATGATGATGAAATAAGAATGGGTATACTATGCGAGATACCGTTCAATCGTTAAAAGTTATAAAGTGTTCATAATAATTGTAACGCAAAAGCTATTTCTGTACTAATCGGTAATCAAAGCGCGGCCATGCGTCATCCATTTCGATTCGAACCTGCACCTTTGACCTCTTGTAATACTATCACCACAGCTCTTGACCGCGTGACACTGGCGGTATGTTAATTAGTTCCAGTACGTTAATCGTTCAATTTGAATATCGGAGATGAACTAACATCTGCACGTTATGGACCATATTTTTAACGTGAAGATGATTTTCTGTTTTAAACTTTAAGTTTAGCCTTTTTTCTTAATTGATTTCTACAGTGGTGACCATGATACACCAGCACAGTGATTGTTCATTCATGTTCTTAAGAACCATTTTGACTACGATGACAAGGTTGGACCAAGGAAGGACAGTATTCTATAGAATATCCTCGTAAAATAGACGCTCAATGCTACTGTGTTTCTTACAGTGAGTGTAGAGAACCGAAGACCCTTATTATCGGAAATCATCATTGTCCTCAGGAGTGACAACGCATATCGAGGATAGTTGTATCCTCGATTAAAAATCAAACTGCAGATCGAGAAACGAACACACAGTCCACCTGATGGTAAGTGGATGCTGTGGCCCATAGACATTTACATTTATCTTCGATTAAGATTCAAATGCAAATGCGTTGTCACCCCTGAGGACTAAGATGGAATGCCTCGTTTCCAGTAAAAAGGGTCTCCGATTCTTACTTACCAAACAAAACAGCAACATTTTACTGCTATTTCACGCTGGCGTTCAGTGTGAACGTGGTCCTTTTCAGTTCGAGCCGGATCATTCGTGCTTCAGCTATAAAAATGCAGCGTGACTGTATGAACGCATAAAAATGTCTCACTATACTCGTAACTATAACTCTAATGATTACCAACAACTAAAGCGTGATATCGTACAAAACACAGCAGTCATCTCTGAAAAAAATTAAAATGAAAAAAAAAATTGTTTATTTAATTTATTTTTAGGGTTCCGTACCTCAAAAGGAAAAAACGGAACCCTTATAGGATCACTTTGTTGTCCGTCTGTCTGTCGGTCTGTCTGTCAAGAGCCTTTTTCTGAGGAACGCGTGGAGGTATCAAGCTGAAATTCATATCAAATACTCAAGTCTACTGTCCCTTGAAGCTGTGAAAAAATCAAACTTTTAAGCCAACGCAATCAAAAGATACAGCTGTTTACGCCGCAAATTTTCGACATTCGCAAGGGAATCAAACCTACAGGGTACTTACCATGAACTCAAAATCTTAAAATTTAGTACGAAGCAACGTATTATAGCACTGATAAAGGATAAATTGCGAAAAGCATAAATTTTTAGTTACATCATATAGTAAAAATATTTTAAATAATTTTAAACTTATATACCTACAGATTTGTTCGGAACCCTCGGTGCGCGAGTCCGACTCGCACTTTGTCTGTTTTATTAAGATTTTTCTCGGATGCTTGTCCTTTACGCCATGTCCTCATTTATCTCAGTATCAAGTGATTAATTCTTTATAGTACACTAGTATGTTGATGCGTGTTTGAAAGATTTTGACGGCAACTTGAGCGAGCAGACAGTTGGCGATAGTATCTCAAAGTGCCTAAGCAGACAGACACTTTATCTTGAGATTCACATCACCATCGGAGCACTTGTTTCATCGTTTTCACTAATAGTGCACATGCGCAGACATTTAATACACCTAATAATTTAAATAAATAATTTTATATGTAAAAGTGCGCACCACTTTTACATATCAAAATGATTTATCCACTTCAAACCGTTATTTAAACAATAGAAGCAGCAATATTCGCCGCCGGTTAGGTTCCCGTAAAACCCCAATGTATTTATACAGCTAAGGTGGTACAGATTGTAATATCAAATATAAGATAGTAAAATGTAAGTAAGTACTTATTTATCTAGTATATAATTATAGTATACGATCTTATCACACCAACCAAGCTGGAGTGTATAAACTAATGTATGTAGTTCTGTGGTCCTCACACTGCACTGGGCATGCCCTGTGTCGTGAGGGTCTGCTACGATTGTCTTTTCACATATGGTTTCCATAAATTGACACTGGGTCGACGTGGGATAAATAGGTTATATAAGCTTTAAAAAAATAAGTATTCTAAATATACTTATATTAAGTTATCTATACAAATAAATAAAATTGAAGTGTCTGTTTGTAATGTTAATACGTATCGTATATATATATTATATAAGGTACTTATCACAAAAAAAAATTAAAAAATTTAGATTGTCTGTCTGTCTCTTTGTTCCGGGTAATCTCTGAAATGGCTGGACCGATTTTCACGGGATTTTCACTGGCTAATGTCATAAGAAGTAATTAGAAAAATAATTAGGATTCCGCGCAAAAAAAAAAAATGAAATCCTATCATAATAAATTTTACGTGGACGAAGTCGCGGGGAACAGATAATTATTTATAAAAAAATTATAGGTAAAATAATAAATATCTAATATTGTTATTCATAAATAAACTAACTAGCACATGTTTCCTTCCAGGGAATGCGGTTAAATTTGAACGTTGCGTATGATGACACAACTTAAATGGGTCATCCTATGTCAGATGGTAGCGATGCTTCCGCTCATTTGATGTTTGAAATGTTCTAAAAATATGATTAGTTATTTAATGTATTAACTTCCGTGCGATAAGTTTCTTTAAAATGAAGTCTGCTATGAGAAAATACTAAGTGTTCATTTTTGTAAACTTTTACCGCCGCAGTCTATGACGTCTCATATAATATATATTGATCTATTTATATCCCGTTGAACAGGGAACTCCATTTGGTTTTTAGAATCTTGCTGCGTATGATATATTAACTACTTCAAGGTCTTTGAAGAATTTTAGTAGTTTGGTAAACAGGAATGAAATGATGTGTGTTCGTGTTCGTAGTTTTTAAAGTTTACCATAATGGGAATGTTAATTTTTTTAAGATGTCGGTTATAAATTATAAATTTATATTACTATTGCTTTTTCGGCAATAGTTTATTTTAAAAGCATAAACATTTGCCAATGATGACGTCATAGAGTAGGCTGAACAATACCTTTATGTATAGGAATGTAATAACTAATAAATCGACATTTAACAATTATGTCATGCTTACATTAACGTTAAACACATAATATTATTTTCATGTATAGTGTTAATTTTGTTAATATTTGATGACGATTTCGATCGAGATCGAGTAACCTTTGTGTAACTAGTTGATTAAAAATAATTGTTCTAATTATTTGTACCGTTGCATAAATAACTGTAGTTTACTTTGTTTATATGTGCAAATTAACCTTTTAGAACCGATTTCATATAAATAAAATTGATCTGTTTGTCTGTAATATCATAATAATTGTCTTTTATTGAGGCGACGGACGGGGTTATTTATTATGACAGAGACAAATATTTTTTTTAAATATTTGTCTCTGTCTGTCCGAGCTAGTCTTCGAAGTGACTGAAAACTATATAATTGTATTAATTTTCGGCAACTTTGGTTATACATAGCTCGAAACGCAAGGAACACACGAGTAATGAAAACATACGTCCCAACCGGAGCGTGCGCCAAAACTTAACTAGCTTGATACGCAGTAAAAAACCGACAAAAGATGGAGCGGCCCGCTCCACGTTTGAACGTTCCAACAGAGAATTCGGCGCGCGTTCCAAGGCGGTATCCGGTTCACACGGCTGGAGCGCGCGCCTATGTTCGACCCCTTGGAGCGCATAACCGATGCGCGGCTTAAGTGTGACAAACGAGCACACAGTCCACCTAATGCTATGTGGATGCTGCGGCCCCTAACTATCTACATCTATTCTCAATTAATAATCAAAATGCAGATGGCGTTGTCACCCTTGAGGTCTAAAATAGAACGCCTCGTTTCAAGTAAAAAAGAAAGCCTTGTAATTAGTTACTAAATATCACGTGGTAGCGTCTCTATTGACTCAAAGCAAACCCTTCGGTTGCAGTTGACATACGTTAGACTTAAAGTAAAACGTTTGGGTTGCAGTGTGGGGGCAATGGAGAAGGCGAAGGCGTACATAAAGAGCTCGCTGGGCGCTAGCAAGCCGGCGTCTCCTGCTCGCGAGGCGGACGCCGAGCCGCGAGTCTGCTTCGTGTGCGGCGGGGCCGGCCTCGGCGACTGCTACACCGTGCGGGTCAAGCCTGGACCACAGGTAACTAACTATTGACTTTAAACACTTCTCTGGACTCGTTCTCGCCATCTGTAAGCAGATATACGCATTAGAGTCATGCTGCAGCCAACTGTATTATCTGTATAATATATCGGCTCGACCAGGGAGGGACCACGCTGTCATGGAATACAACATCTTACTAATGAAAAGTTAAAATGACCCTTCTTCTGAGGCAGCCACATGAGGGCTTTCGCCCCGGCGCTATATGCATCACTCTGGAATGAACAGGTTTTACCAGTAATCTAAAAAAATCTATTCCGTAGCTAGATTAATATTTTATTCAAATTTTGTTATAATAAGCTCTTGATAATAACAAACAACGTCAATAGTTCTCTCTACCAGTTGATTTTCACTTTACACTGTGATATCCTTTATTGTAGCCTAGCGTTACGTTTTTGTGTTGTGGGAAAGACAATGAGGTGTTACAACAGCGCCGCGGGGTGGGCCGTGTGAAAACTATGGAAAAGTGCGTTTTTGTGCGTGTGTCACGACGACGCTGTCGTGAGTTTGTTTATGATATGGGAGCCGTTAACAATGACAGATGCTATTTACTCACACGATGTGAACGTAGTTATTTAAAGACTAGCCCACCCGCCCCGGCTTCGCCTGGGTGGTATTTATTGTCATGTTATTAAAGTTAAGATAATCATCGACGATCTTTTTCGATCTCCAAACTTTTCATAAAATAGCTATATTTCTCTCTATCTTTTTGTGAAGTTTGGTTGCAATTCATTCATCCATTCCGAAGATTAGCCTGTACAGACAGACAGACAAATTTTTTGAAAATAGTTATTCATGTCTTAGAAGAATGCAAATAACCCCCTGAGCTGACTGACACTTCAATTTTTTGTATTAAATGGTATGGATATATGCTAACTCTTTACTGGTAATGAGGCATTCTGTCTTAATTCTCACGGGTGACAACGCGTCTGCATTTTGATTCTCAATCAAGAATGGATGTAGATGTCTATGGACGAAAGCAGCCACTTACCATCAGATGTACTGTGTGATCGCTTGTCACCCTAATAAATAAAATTAAAGTGTCTGTCTGTGTTATCGAAATAACTGGTTCCTATTAAAGTTAGGGGGTTACTTACATGATGTTAAGACTTATACTACCATTTCATTTTTAATTTTGTCTGTCTGTCCGTGGTAATCTTTGGAATGGCTGAACCGATTGTGATGAAACTTTACGAACAGATAAGGAGCAGTACCACGAGGGATCTAGGCTATTTTGTAAACCCCGATGCAAACAGAGGGGCGTTATAAGTTTGTACTGTGATCTGTGTGTCTGTCTGTGGCATCATGGCTCCTGAACGGATGAGCCGACTTTGATTAAGTGTTAGGTGTGTTTTAAGAAAATCTGTTCAGCCGTTTGAAGATCATCAGCTGTTTTTGTTTCGGGGTACCAAATTTTTTTAATTTAAGTTATATTCGAAGAACTTGATTGAAAAAACGTATAATAGATAAAATAAATGGTATTTCATTTTCTTAAATCTACGCCATATTAAATGATCCTGTCGAAGCGAAGTCGGGTCAGGTCGCTAGTAAATAAATAAATACTAAGACCCATCTGCTTGTATTCTGCTAAGTGTATAAGTAATATATAATGTATAAAAGTATAATACCGAATGCGCGTTTTTTATCGGAGCAAGTTTGACAACATTTCAGTCGTTTATAAGTTTTCTATTTGTCTCATTTGAATTCCGGATTTAGGCGGGCGGGTCGGCAACCGAAGTTTTTATTAATTTTTACTTTTATGTTAAAATTTCTGGATTCTCCAAGGCGGCATGGTACTCAGTTATAGTACGACATTAAGGAATTCGACGGAAGTAGATTTTAATATATTTTTTTTATAAATTTATATTTTAATAAACTTACTATTAATATAAATAATGCCTTAATTTAAAATAGTTTACAATAAGAGGCACCTGAACTGTAGGAAAAACCTGTATCTCAGGTGTATGTGCTAATAATAGATACTAACGAATATTTTCTTTTTGTTATATAGAATGAATAACATACCAAAAAAAGTAAAATATATTATCATTAATTAACTTAAAACAATCAGCAAATTTTTCGTATTATCGTATGATAAATTTTGTAACCATATTCGAATTACATTTTTACAATCAGCCATTTTTAATGACTACATGTACAGAATTGCATTGACTTGATTATACAGAAAAGGGCCAAGGAATGTAAAAAATCTATGGATGAAAGAAAGCCTTATTCCAATGTTAGTTTCACTTACTTTATCTTTGCGTGTTTTATCAGTGACCTGTCTTCTGTAGGGCAATTTTAAGTGCTGTTTTAGTAACGTTCTCATAACGAATAACTGGTGCACTGAGAGGACATTACAGGATTTATATAAGAGATGGGACGGGAATAAGGTTGCGACTTTTAATATTTGAGCGCGTTCCAGTGATAGCAGTGTAGTTTTAGCTGTTCCCCTCCATGAGTTATACAATAGGTGAGGATCGACTGACTGAAATATACTTGTTTTACCTTAATATCTCAACTGCACAGGTGGTTTTCAAACGTAAAAGTAGAATCTGGTAACTCCATATAGCAATTCAAAGATATTTAATAGTCTTTGTATATAAAATAACTGGGCAATTACATTTAGACTGCAAATGAGAAACATTGATGTGCATAAATTTCTGGAATTATTATATGCTTGTTGAGCTGCGCATAGAAAAATAAATATATTTAGCTTTGTTCGTATTCTGTGTTAATATAATTTTATTAGGTCCATTTAATAACCCTATCGAAACCTTGCTGTGCACATAAATAAACCTTGTGTACTGTATATCCGGAAAAAAGAAGCATGCTGTCATCTGCGTAAGATATTATTTTACCTGAGTTTAGTTCGAGATTGCAAAGCCCATTGATATATTTAAAAATTAGGGTTGGCCCTAATACACTGCCTTGAGGCACTCCAAAATGATGAGTATTTTTTTGTTCAGAGCAACCGATCGATTTTTAAGCATTGACATCGATTTTCAAAATAGTCTTAAATAGTCTAAAAGATTTTCAAAATCTTATGCTCTCTAGCTTATTTAACAGGATGGGAATAGAAACTGTATCTAAAGCTTTTGCTAGGTCAAGGAAAATGCCAATTGATGGGGTTGCCTTTATCTTATTCTTGAAGGTCGTAATTGGTTATTTCCTGCACAGCATCAGCAGTGGACAGTTTTGGTCTGAAACCATATTGCATATTCGATTATATGGATTTACTTTTGTAAATAATTCATTAATCTATTTTTAATTAATTTTCCTAATATTTTAGACGTAGATGAGAGTATTGAGATGAAAATGAAAATGAAAATACTTTATTTGACAGTTAGCACCTTTACAAATAATTTAACAGTGGTTCTCACACTAGGCTCGCAGACCTGTATATACCGATAATATATCTATATAGACCGATAATTGTAAACATCTTTTTGTCCTCTGATTTATGTACTAGAACTACAATGGCTTTTTATAGACAATGTGCGAAAATTCCTATATATATTGCTACATCTCTCCATCAACCTTCACTACTCCACCTATTGGGGGGATCCAAACTGAATAAAAATGTTTTAATATTTCCCACACGTGAGCGAGTTTTGATAGTAAGTTTCCAATAAGCAAAACTTTTCAAAGCGAAGTTGTCGCTACTAAGTTTAAAGTTTGGAGTTTTCATTCGCTACGATTTGATGCGGTTAGTTCAACTATTCGCTCTCTACTTCAACTTGCAACGGAATAAAAAATATTTTTTTCATTGATGATTTTTGATGATTGAGCATGATATTTTTTGTAACGAGAAAACGTAGTTTGAAGTTTTTTAATTTTATAGAATAAGGTTGACAAACGAGCACACAGTCCACCTGATGTGGTAAGTGGATGCTGTGGCCCACAGTGATCTACATTTATTCTCGATTAAGTATCAAAATGCAGATGCGTTGTCATCCCTGAGGACTAAGATAGAATGCTTCGTTTCCATTAAAAAGGGTCTCCGGTTGAAAAGGTCTATTTCACGCTTATAGTCTGTGAGAGTGTGGTCTTTCCCGGTCGAGCCAACCCATTCGTACAATAACTATACTACTAATGTAGCATGTATGTACCGCGTTTCGTGCACATATTATGAAGTCCGCCAATATGCACTGGGCGATGCAGCGCACTGATTGTTCTGTAACCCTTTCGGTAGTGAGTAGAGGCCTGTACCCCAGCAGTTTTATTTATGTCATCCAGACCGAAAATGCGGTCACGGCGGCCAATATTAAACGAGGGTGCGCAAGCACGCGTGTGTATCCGACACGGCGGGAGAGAGATCAAGGGACCAACGGACATACGTGCCTTTACTTTATTTCATCCATCCATCCATAACAGCCTGTAAAATCCACTGCTGAACATCAGCCTCCCCCATAGATTGCCTCATAGGGGGATTTAGCCATAGTAGGTTTGGCAGGCGGGTTGGCAATCGCAGTTTTTTGATTACTTGGAGATGTTATCAGCAAGATGCTGCTGTCCATCTCTTCGTTTAGTTTCTCTCTGTGGCCTCTTACGATACCCACAAAACGAAATGGTGTAATTGTTATAATTACACCGCCACTACATGCCTACCACTTTATTTATTAATTTGTTCTATATTGCAAACATCTGCAACTATGGGTTAGAAAGGCCTGATTTTATGCCTTATGGCATTCTCTTATTATTTATTACTTTTGAAAATACGTTACTTCCACATTACAAGAATTTCGCCTGTATCATGGAGGCAGTCTACATACACACATTTCACAAGGACGTTTGTCCCAGGCCTGGAACAATTATTTGTAGGCCATAAAAATGCTTATTCCATGCGGAATTCGAACTTAGAGCGCTGCTATTCATTGCTAAGCCACTGCACCATGGAGCCAACCGTACGAATAAACCCTGCGTTTTTCGAGGCACGGGGACGAAACTACCTGACTCCGACCTACTGCTACGGAGAATTTCTTGACAGAAATACCGAACGACTAGCAGTAGGATGGATATATTATAGGCTGTAAGTGTTAAGAAGTGGCAAATCAAGAGTTAATAATAGAGTAAATAGGCTTTTGTTACGCTAAGACACCACTTACCACCAGGTCAGATAGCGGTCAAGCTCTGGCTTATAATAAGTTAGAAAAACGTGTGCAATTCACACGCGGTAGATGTGAAACCTACAGAAAATTAGAAAGAGATAATAGGAAACACTGTAGACTGTATTCTATCTCATTTTCTCGCATGTTAAATCCTATAGATGTATTAGGGTGGAATTTTTTTTTTTACTATGGCATATCCGCAAAAAGGTACGAGTATGTTAATAAGCTCAATAAGCAAATGCGAATTTTTCATCTTGGTTTACATTTAGAGGTGCCCCGGATACAGAGGCTGCACTAAAAGTATCAGGAATGGAATATTTCCACTGTTCCTGTCATATTAAAATCTTTTTAATTGAAAAGTCTTTGATTTTAAAAATCGAATACCATTTATTTATTTAAAAAAAGATTCTCGGTCTTGTCACAAGGTTTTGTCAAACTTGTTTAGTCGTTGAGAAAATGGAATTGACTCGAGAAAATTCAAGAGCGATGATTTATTATGACTTTCAAAGTGGTTTAACACAAAAACACGTGTGTTGACCGGATGATTTCTGCATTTGGTGATGAAGCCCCATCCAAAACCACAATTTATCTCTGGTTTGCTGAATTTCAACGTGGACGTGTCAAGCTCAGTGATGATCCCCGTCAAGGTCGTCCAAAAAACTGCAGTCACCCAAGAAAACGTTGATGCTGTGCGTAAGCTGATTGAGGAAGATCGACATGTGACATACCGCGAAATTCAGGCAACTTTAGACATTAGCATGAGTCAAATACAAATAATCTTGCATGAACAATTAGGTGTAAAAAAGTTGTTTTCCCGATGGATACCGCATTCGCTCTGTGAAGAGCAAAAAGCGGCTCGCGTTACTTGGTGCATCAGAACTCTCGAAAGATTCCACGCAGGATCCTCAAATGCTGTATACAACATCGTATTAGGTGACGAATCCTGGATATACGCGTACGAACCCGAAACAAAAAACCAGTCACGAGTTTGGGTGTTCGAAAATGAGTTAAAACCAACAAAAATTGTTCGTTCACGAAGTGTTGAAAAAAAAAATTGTGGCCACGTTTGTCTCCAAAACCGGCCATGTTACGACTATTCCTCTTGAGGGACAAAGAACGGTTAATGCAGAATGGTATGCTAGCATTTGTTTGCCACAGGTCGTTTCTGAACTCCGTAAAGAGAACTACAACCGCCGCATCATCCTCCATTAGATAGATTATCCGCCGTACAGCCCCGACCTAAGCCCTAATGATTTCTATATTTTCCCTAAAATAAAGAATAAATTGCGTGGACAGAGATTTTCATCACATGAAAAAGCTGTAGACGCCTACAAAACGGCCATTTTGGAGACTCCAACTTCCGAATGGAAAAATGTATCAAATTTCGCGGAGAATACTTCGAAAAGCAATAAATACATTTTTAAATAGTAATGTTGTGTCACTTTCTTGATTCCCGAAATTTTCAGTGCCGCCCTCGTAGACAAAGTTTTGAAAAAAAAATGTCCGAAATATGTCATTAATGCAAAACTATAAAAAATATTTGAATTTGTTCTCATTTTGTGGTGAAAAATTAATTTCACGCTAAAATAGTTTGATAAAAAATTAGAAAACTGCTAGCCTTTAATTAAGCTAGCAGTTTTCTACCTACTATGATGTCGATTTTTTATTACATACTCTGCTCAAGATGTCAGAGTAGCAGTTTATGGTATTGAAAAAAGCACAGGCAGTAATAAGAATTGCCAACAGAAGTGAAAACTCAATGATATTTGCGTATACATGTACACAGTCCGCAATACTGACTTACTCGTGAGACATGTTTGTGACGTATTGCACTTGCACGCAATACGTCACGAGCATGTTGAGGTCTTCGGTGACGAAAACTCATTAGTTTTCCCCCTGCCGAAAATCGCTCAACGCGGCTAAAGACGTTTTCAATTAAAAAAATGAAATATATTCCCAAAATTTTTTGCGTATATCGACAGCACTAAATGAGTACTAAATTATTGATGCATTTATTTGGTGCGGTATTAAGCGGTTATCGTTTTAGGAGGTAGAACGTTGCTAGCTTAATTAAAAGTGGGTAGTTTTCTTTTTAGGGTTCCGTACCTTAAAAGGAGAAAACGGAACCCTTATAGGATCACTTTGTTATCTGTATCTGTCTGTCTGTCTGTCTGTCTGTCTGTCAAGACCCATTTTCTCAGGAACGCGTGGAGTTATCAAGCTAAAATTCATATCAAATACTCAAGTCTACTGTCCCTTGGAGCTGTGAAAAAATCAAACTCCTAAGCCAACCTAACCAAAAGATACAGCCGTTTATGCCGCAAATATTATGCCGCAAGGGAATTAAAACCTACAGGGTACTTCCCGTGAACTCAGAATCTTAAAATTTGGTACGAAGCACAGATAAAGGAAAAATTGCGAAACGCATAAATTTTTAGTTACATCATATAATAAAAATATTTTTAATAATTTTAACCTACGGATTTTTTCGGAACCCTCGGTGCGCGAGTCCGACTCGCACTTGGCCGGTTTTTTAAGTCTTATTTTAGCGTCTATTTTAGTTTAGCGTAAAATTTAATTTTGCAGCACTAAACAGCACTAAAATTTTAGCAAAACTAGTGATTTTCCCAATTCACCATTCCAGTTTTATAGACATGTCAATTTTCACAGTACAAACTTTCAGGTACATATATATATGTATGTTTTAGCTATGTTTCAGTCGCTATTAAGCGTTTTAAACATATAAAATACTATTCCAATAAAACATATTATTAGGGATTATATACAGATGTAAAAAATTTACGAAATTATACTTCTTTCAACACTCTTTCGTGCTGGGGCACCTGAAACAATTCTAATACACAAAATATATTAAACTTAACTCATTATCTCATCCCAGCTTTTTACCACTGTGCGATTACAAATGTAACGAAAAATAAATCTCCATACATTTTCACTCCACTCTAATGTATATGTTTGTCTCTTTAGTGTCGTTTTTTTTCGTTTCAAAACACAACGATTCTAAAGAAGTTTTCAGTTCATAAAAATAATAATTTTCGACGGCGTTTTTGCGCAGAGTTCGGAACCGTACTTCCCGTTCCTGGGCGCTCACCCGCCTCCTGCTGGGTACCGCGCGGACGACAGCGAGGAGGAGGGCACAGTGCGCTGCTGCTGCGTTTGCTACACCTTCCTACGCCAGCAGTGGGAGCAGTACGACCGCGAGAACAAGCCGCACTCGCAGCGCTTCTACTGGATGAAGCGGCTCGATGGCAAGCCGTTCATTGGTGAGTCCACCCACACCCACACCAACGCAACATAAACATTCACGTCTGTTACCCAGATCACCAGATGTTCACGATCCTGACACACCTCTCTCGTCTCCTTTACATCCATATGCCTATGCATACACGCTCGTCGCTTAAGGGTACGCTTAATCTAGCTCATCTTCAATATATCGCCGATTCGGTCGATAAACTTTCGTCTAGGGCATCCTTTCCCGACTCTGCCGTTCATTTGTGCAACATAAATTTGCTTTGTCACTCTTTTCTTGTTCATTCTTTGTACATGATCAAGCCACCGAAGCATTACTTTCTTAATCCTGGTCACAACACCATCTTAAAATCCACACTTTTCTCTTGTGAGATTTTGACAGCAGCAACAAACAGTCGATGACAATAGTAAAAAATTGCTATTTTTATTTTCCGGTCAGGGAAAGTTGTAAATGATTTATATTATGACACGATTGTTGAATGTAAGTATTGACTACTGACAAATAAAAGATAAAGATTATTAAGATGTCCTAAGTTTAGAGATGCATTTTCCTGACATTTGTATGAGTATATCTTGAAATACTTGTAATACGTACGTTGTGAAATTTCAAATGAAATTCACAATATACTATTGTGCCAGGAGGGGCCAGATAACCGGCTAAGGATCATTGTACAGTCGCAGTTACCCCGGGGCTCCGTCCCGGAGGTAATCCCGCTCCGACATTATTTTATCTGTCGAACGACGGACGAGCACAAATCCCGCTCTTATCGATGATACAAACTTTCCTATTTCCAGACTTGAGGGACTGTGAGTTGTTTCAATGGTATTGATTCCTTTTCGAAATTTGAAATGATTAAATTGTAAAAAATATCACATTTAAATGAAACTAAGTTTTACCTATTTTATCGCGTATATTAACTTATTTTAAATTGTCGACGTTTCGAGTACTTTACAGCACCCATGATTACGAGGAGGGAGGCGGGGGGTTGATAATTAATAATTTTAAACTAAAGGTAGCCGTGATTAACAATCACCTCACCCCCAGTCCCCCCGTGATCATAGGTAGGTACTGCTAAGTGCTCGGGAATTTAAAATAAGTTAATATACGCCATAAAATCCGTAAAACTTAGTTTAATTTAAACTCCATTACCAATTACCATCAAGTGGTATAGTAGTAAAGCACTGACTTATGATAGGTTTAAAAATTTGTTGTTTCATGAATGATTGTTTCAATGATATTAATCCTCTAAATACGATTTACGTGGTAGAGCCATGATGCAGCTAACATGGTTGTAACACGAATGGGTTGGCTCAACCGGGAAAGCGGAGCTCAATGCTGCTATGTTTTGTATGGTGAGTTTAGAGAACCGGAGACCCTTTTTACTGGAAGTGAGGCATTCCATCTTAGTCCTAGAGGTAGATGTGACAATGGATCTACTTTTGTCTATTAGGCACAGCATCCACTTATCATCAGGTGGACTGTGTGCTGGTTTATCAGTCTTATTCTATATAAGAAATATATCGGTTTTTATTATAGCAAAATCGCAAGTTGGAATATGTTTCGCACAATTCGTGTTTAATGTATTAAAGAAGTACCTGGCATGTTAATTGCTCATCACTTATTAATGAGTTTATAATGAGCTTGTTATGTTTAATTTACAGTTAATTTACATATTTTTAATTTACATAGTTAATATTATCAATTGCGCGATTCTTAAACGACTGCGTTCATCCAATGGGATAAGAAACTAGAATAGAATAATTTTATTCAATATAGATTATTACATAATACTTTTTATTTACCACTGGTTCGGAAAATACATCTGTCCTTGGAAGAACCACCAAGAAACCCAGCGGGAATAGATATTTTAGTGTTAATGTATTTCAATCAAATTAGTTAACGTTCTCGAATCCAAATTCCAGTCACGGTTTGTATGGTATCTGCGGGTCTTTTTTATAAAACTAAAAGTGACAAACAAACTTACAGTTCACCTGAGAGAAAGTGGCTACTGTAGACCGTGAACACTTACAACCAACTTCAAACAATGAAGGCTCTCTCGGTCGTGTCGGCTTGACGTCCCATCGGACTATGAGTGTGAGTGAATACAGAGTGCATCTGTGCTTTCGCATACACCCGGGCACTACAATCTTGTCCTTAGCAAATGTATTGTCTCCGTCGAGACTGGCCATCTGCAGGACGTTATTTACCATACATATATACTTATATATTCTCTCTTGAATTCATACTTATATTTTAATCGAATGCAAAGAGAGATGCTGGCAACTTATTCTAATCCTTTGTTGTAAGCACGACGAACTATGCAGCAAATCATTTGGTTACCATCAGTTAGCCAGGGTCTCGATTATAAATCAAAATCACCATACGAAACAGAGTAGCTGTGAGAGCGTGGATTTTTCCCGGCCGAGCCGACCTATTCCTGCTACAACCATAATATAGCTACAGCGTGGCTCTACCACGTAAAAAAGTAGTAAGTTCGTTTGTCAGAACAATTTAATAAAAAAAAAAGTAAATATTAGGCGTTCCATTTCACCGCCGCCGTACGCAGTTGAGTACACAGAATGTGCAAACTGACTATTGTATCTCTTAACTGAATGTGGAAGATATTATGTTGACTGTGTCTGGTCTTTGGTCTTAAATCAATTTTGTACTGGCAGCTGAACATACAATGATTCCATCGATACTGTTAAATATTGATGACGCATTAAATTTCAAATTGATGTTACACGCGATGCCTATACGCACGAATGGACGTACATGAAAAGTCGTATGCGTAAACAATAGACCGGAGTGTTACGGAGAACAGTTTTTCCGCTGATCTCATCACTTGGAACTTTTCTAAAACTCTCCGTGTATAGATGTATGTATAATAGATTAGTTATCTGTGTTAACATAATTTATGTGAAATTTAAGAACGTATACGCTCTTATAAATTACTTGACACATTTGATCACACTCACCAGACTACACACTCAGATTATTGATCGTCGAGATGACACTCTCGCACTTGTAATGCCATAGCCCCATAGCCTCGTTCCTCTATCAACATAGTGCACAATTTTTATGGAATAAATGGATTTTTTTTAATAGAATTAGTGACAAACGAGCACACAGTGGTAGAGCCACGCGGCAGCTTTTGCTGTCGCACGGATGGGCCGGCTCGAGCCGGGGTAGTACCACGACCTCACAGAAAACCAGCGTGAAGTAGAGGTTTACCTCTGCGTTTCGCTTGGTGAGTGCAGGTGGCCGGAGGCCCTTTTTACTGGAAATGAGGCATTCCATCTTAGTCCTCACGGGTGACAACGCATCTACATTTTGATTTGTAACAGAGGATAGATGTAGATGTCTATGGGCCGTAGCAACCACTTACCATCAGGTGGACTGTGTGCTCGTTTGTCACCCTCATCCTATAAAAAAAAACGCAGTCCACCTGATGGTAAGTGGTTGCTGTGCCCCATAGACATCTGCATCTATCTTCGTTTGCGTATTAAAATGCAGATGCGTTGTCAGTCGTGAGGTTAATTTTTATGGAATAAATGGAATAATTGTGATAAACGTACACTTGATGGTAAGTGGATGCTGTGACCCATATAGACACCTGCATCTATCCTTGATTAATAATCAAAATGTTGATCCTTTGTCATCTGTGGTAACTAAGATAGACTACACTTACTATATAATATATCGTTACCGTTACAGCCTATTAAAGTCCACTGCTGAACACAGGCCTCCCCATAGACTGCCTCATAGGGGGGTCATATATATACATACGCCAACACCTGGGCACAGGCCCCCCTAATTTCTAAGAGATATTCTCGGTGACATGTTCGTTCTACACGAAAATGTCGACGTAATATATTATATATTTAAATTTATTTTTTGCATGTTATTTTTTTATTTAATTGTTATTAATTATTAATTCTAAAGATGTTTGACATTTCACCATTTGTTATCAGCTTTTGTCAATTGTCTATTTAATTTGATATATTACGTATTTTTTTTATTTTGTGTACATGTACTTAATTTATCATTTTAATTTGCATGACATATAAGGAATGTTAATCTATGTATAAATTAAGATTGTGTTTTGGCTTTTTGGAATTTGTTATTTCAGCCAGGGTTGATTTAAATAAAAAGAGGGTTCTCTGAAGCTGAGCAATTGATCCGTCACACTTAACATGTATCTATTTATTTTATCGTTTAGATATTTTATTCCTCATGTTTTGATTGTTAATGCCAAGCACGTGGCATAAATTAGCGCACATACACATACGTATTTTCATAGTAGTGAAATATACGGCTTGCTCTAAACTCCTAAATATTGTATTAATTTTACAATAAAACCACTTTCCTTTTAAAGGACTATGTTGAAATACATTCATAAAACATGAACGCACCGCTATACATAGAACAACATAGAAACAGATTCACCTAAGAGTAAGACGGACATCGGAAGTTCTGTTGAAAATAGTTTTATGGTTTTCTTCGACCCGAATGCTTTATTAGTGAGGAATATTTATTATTTACGTATATAAGTGCGATACGAGGCGTGACTCGGACGCGGCCATTTAACGCGACGTTAAGAGTAAAATACTGCTGTTTAGGCTGTCCTAAGTGGGGTATTTTTACGAGAGATTTACGCGGGTGACATTAGCGGGGCAGTAAATGTCAGCCGAGTGAGAGATGTGTCGAGCTGGCCTGTTTTCATCATGGGGCTATTCGCGATTGATCAAGTTATCTGCTTAGACTAATTTACTGTAATTACTGGGGTGGCTAATATTATAGGTCGATCGCGGTCGACCAGTTTTTTTTATAGGATAGGACGACAAACGAGCACACAGCCCACCCGATGGCAAGTGGTTACTATGACCCATAGCACCTACATCTATTCTCAATTAAGAATGAAATTGCGGATGCCTGGTCACCCGTGAGGACTAAGATGGAATGCCTCTTTTCCAGTAAAAACCGTCTCCGGTTCTCTACACTCAGCATACG